CGTAGAGAGTTCCATTGACGTTAGAAAGCATAACCTGGGTGTAAGTCTCATTAATTTGAAGTGGTTCTCTAGTTAATTCAATATCAGAAATTTTATGAAAATTATTTTCATCGCAAAAACTTGATAGTCCTGGGTTTATTACCATCGAGAACAAATATATGAAACCGAAAAAAACAAAAAAAGTACTTGAAAACCTAGCTCTTTGCTTACCACCTTGTATAACTTTTAACACTAAAATAACTTGCATAATTTAATCGCGACTGTAGTAAGAATAAAAAACACAAAATTCTTATCTAAACTTTATTCAAGGTCACAAATATTATCATCTGAATACACAAAAGTAACTGAATTGTGCATTTTCTTGATTAATTGATTTGCAAAAATTTTCTTCAGTCTACACGGCCACAAATTTTTTTGATTTCTAAATATTTCTAGTTTGGCAAAATCGCATTCACTTTTTCCGCATCAAAATTAAAAATCTCGTTTCCGGTCAAATTTAGAACTTCTAGCTTAATCAATTCCTCAAACTCGTTCCAACTCAAATCCAAAAACAAGCGTTTCAAATTTGAAACTTTTCGAAACATCTATAGTGTGATTTAGTTTCGAATTTAGTTTATTTTAAAGTTCTTAAAAAAATTTGACCTCTAATTCCTAATTGATTCAAACGAACATTAAGTGTCTTTATTTCTCGCATTTTTTTCGGCATTAAAATATTTAACAGAATTTTGCTCAATAAAAGGAACCTTAATTTTTTTCAATTTATTACAATTCCAGAGAATACATTGTATCAAAGAGGTGAGATTTTTGAAGTGACGTGAGTCACACTTGCAAAAACATACAAAAGGTTTAATTTTTACTGTGAAACAAAAATACAAATACGATGTTTTATGTAATAATTAATTAATCAAAAACTTCGCATGAATCAAAAAATCCAGGATCAAACTTATGCCTGATTTCAATTGTCCGATTTAATCTCTTGATAACCTCATTAGCGAAAGCTTCTCTTTTCTTACACTCCAGAGGATTAAAAGTAAAATCCAATCCCGTCAAATTCGGCAAATATTTTGTAAACTTTTCAGCACTAAAACTTGAAATTTGGTTTGAACTAATATCTAAATACTTCAGCGATGTTAAACCATCAAATACGTCCCAAGACACATCTGTTAAATTATTTCTATCCAAAGATAAATTTTCCAATTTTGAACTATTTTTAAAGAAATTTGGAGGCAAGTCAGTTAATTGGTTCCAACTGATATCAAATTTTTTCAAATTTGGAAAATTTTTGAGAAAATTTGGGTCAATTTTTTCCACATTACAACTTCGTATTATTAAAGTTTCTAATAAATTTAAATTCTGAAAATAATTTATTGAGAGTTGGGTTAAGTTGAAACCTGCTAATTGAAGTTTTGGGCAAATTTTCCAATGCGTCTTGAGCAAGTAGCAACATGTTATCGCAATTTGTCACTATTTCCAACTTTTCAAGCTTGTCACAATTTTTCAAAATATTTTTTGTAATAGTTAGAAGCTTTTCCTTTGTGTAAAAAATAATTTCAAAGTTTTTTAAGATTGGAGATGAACAAAAAGCACCGTCTTCCACATCTTCTAATCCATTTGTGTAAAGTTGAAGGTCTGTAATTTTTGATAATTTTGATAATGATGTTGCGTAGAGAGTTCCATTGACGTTAGAAAGCATAACCTGGGTGTAAGTCTCATTAATTTGAAGTGGTTCTCTAGTTAATTCAATATCAGAAATTTTAGGAAAATCATTTTCATCCCAAAAACTTGATAATCCTGGGTTTATTATCATCAAGAACAAATATATACCTTTCTGAAACTAAAAAAACAAAAAAGTACTTGAAAACCTGGCTCTTTGCTTACCATCTTGTATAACTTTTAACACTAAAATAACTTGCATAATTAACTTAATTAATTAATGGCGACTGTAATAAGAATAAAAACACACAATTCTTATCTAAACTTTATTAAAGGTCACAAATATTATCATCCGAATACACAACAGTAACTGAATAATGCATTTTCTCGATTAATTGATTTGCAAAAATTTTCTTCAGTTAACACGGCCACAATTTTTTTTGATTTCTAAATATTTCAACTTTGGCAAAATCACACTCACTTTTTCCGCATCAAAATTAAAAATCTTGTTTCCGGTCAAATTTAAAACTTTTAGCTTAACCAATCCTTGAAATTCGTTCCAACTCAAATCCCTAATCCTATTATGATCCAAAAACAAGCGTTTCAAATTTGAAACTTCTCGAAACATCTACAGTGTGATCTAGTTTCGATTTTAGTTCATACCAAAGTTTTAAAAAAAAATTGACCTCTAATTCCTAATTGATTCAAACGAACATTAAGTTTCTTTATTTCTCCCACTTTTTTCGGCATTAAAATATTTAACAGGATTTTGATCAATAAAAAGAACCTTATTTTTTTTCAATTTATTACAATTCCAGAGAATACACTGTATCAAAGAGGTGAGATTTTGAAGTGACGTGAGTTACACGTGTCAAAACATACAAAAGGCTTAATTTTTGCTGTGAAACAAAAATACAAAAAAAATACGTTGTTTTATGTAATGATCAATTACTCAAAAACTTCGCATGAATCGAAAAATCCAGGATCAAACTTATGCCTGATTTCAATTGTCCGATTTAATTTCTTGATAAGTTCATTAGCGAAAGCTTCTCTCTTGTTACACTCCAGAGGATTAAAAGTAAAATACAATCCCGTCAAATTCGGCAAATATTTTGCAATTTTTTCAGCATTAAAACTTGAAATTTGGTTTGCACTAATATCTAAATACTTCAGCGAGGTTAAACCATCAAATTCGTCCCAAGACAAATCTGTTAAATTATTTCTATCTAAATATAAATTTTCCAACTTTGAACTTTTTTTAAAAAAATTTGGAGGCAATTGAGTTATATGGTTCCAACTGAATTCAAATTTTTTCAAATTTGGAAAATTATCGAGAAAATTTGGGTCAATTTTTTCCACATTACAACTTCGTATTGTTAATGTTTCTAATAAATTTAAGTTCTGAAAATAATTTGTTGAGAGTTGGGTTAAGTTGAAACCCATTAATTGAAGTTGTTTCAATTTGGGCAAATTTTCTAATGCATCTTGAGCAAGTAGCAACATATTGTCGGTGTTTGTCACTATTTCCAATTTTTCAAGCTTGTCACAATTTTTCAAAATATTTTTTGTAATAGTTAAAGGTTTTTCCTTTGTGTAAAAAAGAATTTCAAAGTTTTTTAAACTTGGAGATGAACAAAAAGCACCGTCTTCCACATCTTCTAGTCCATTTGTATAAATTTGAAGGTCTGTTATTTTTGACAATTTTGATAATGATGTTGCGTAGAGAGTTCCATTGACGTTATCAAGCTTGACCTGGGTGTAAGTTTCATTAATTTGAAGTGGTTCTTTAGTTAATTCAATGTCGGAAATTTTAGGAAAATTACTTTCATCCCATAAAATTGATAATCCTGAGTTTATTATCATTAAAAACAAATATGTACTTTTCTGAAACTAAAAAACAAAAAAATTACTTGAAAACCCAACTCCTTGCTTACCATCTTGTATAACTTAACTAACACTGAAATAACTTGCATAATTTAATCGCGACTGTAATAAGAATAAAAAACACCAAATTCTTATCTAAACTTTATTAAAGGTCACAAATATTATCATCCGCATACACAACAGTAACTGAATCGTGCATTTTTTCAATTAATTGATTTGCAAAAATTTCCTTCAATTTACACGGCCACAAATTTTTTTTGATTTCTAAATATTTCAAGTTTGGCAAAATCGCAATCACTTTATCTGCATCAAAATTAAAAATCCTGTTTCCGGTCAAATTTAAAACTTCTAGTTTAAACAATCCCTCAAACTCGTTCCAACTCAAATCTCTAATCCTATTATAATCCAAAAAAAGGCGTTTCAAATTTGAAACTCCTCGGAACACATTTTTGCGTAATCCAGTTAAATTTTTGTTATAACTAATTTCAAGTTCCTCCAAATGTGACATTCCCTCAAACGCGTTAATGTCAATCTCTGAGATATAGCACCTCATGAGGACTAGTCTTGTCAAGCTTTCCCGTCGCAGTTTCAGAAAATTCTTTTCCAAATGTCCGATTTTGTGCCCGTCAAGGGCCAAAGTCCTTAAATGCATTTCTTCAAAAGTGTCGTTTTCGATTGTTGAAGGTTTTTCGAAGTCGAGTTTTACAAATAGGTGGCGTAATTGGTGTTTGCATTGAGTGAACACGTTTTTGGCCAATGGTGGAGCTTGAAAATTACCGGCGAAATTTAATTCCAGTTTTTGTAAAGTTGGTAGTGAACAAATAGCACCAGTTTCGATTTCTGTGATTTGGTTGTTGAGGATTTTCAAATCAGTGACGTCGTAAAGTTGGGTTAGAGTTTCGTAGTAAAGGGGGCCTCGCAAACCGCTGATTTTGACACAGTTTTGGTCACAAAAGTCTCGAGATTGGCTTTGAAAAAGTTGCAGTAGAAATAAAATTGTGAAAAATTGGAAATTCATTGTAAACACACTAGAAGCACTAATCAATTAATAGTTAAGCAACAAATGTCATTATTTCGATTTATCATTCTTATCACTGTCCTACATTTGAACAAATAATTATAAATGTAAATTCTTGCTTTCACAAAACTGGGAAAAATGTTCATCTGGGAATTCAATACTGTGATACTTCTCTTTCAATTCCTTTTTTGAAATTTCTACAGTCTTACATGATTGTAAATTTAACTCCATGAAGAATTTCTTCAAGTTTGGCAAATTTGTATGAATTTTGGTGGCATTAAAATATTTAATTTGATTATCAAATACGTCTAGTTCTTCCAAAAAAGTCAAATTTTTCAGTTCATCCCAAGTCAAATCCAGTCCATTATCACGCAATATCAACCGTTTCAGTCTTGTATTTTTAAATAAATCAACTGAAAGTTGGGTCAACTCCGGGTTATGGACAATTTCAACTTCTTCCAATTTGGAAAAACCATCAAAAACATCAGAATCAATACTCGTAAGGTGAATATGAGACAAAAACAACTTCCTCAAATTTTTGGGATTCAACTTCAAAAAGTTTTTTCTTAAATGTCTCACTTCGAGACTATCAACCCCAAAAACTTTTAAGGACAAACCCTCCAAAGCATTTTCTTCAATTGTTGAAGGCGTGTTATAATCAAACTTTAAAAAAAGCTCATCCAGTTTTTCACAATTTTTAAACATATTTTGGGTCAGTTGTGGTGGTGCACTGTTCATGCTTAAATCTAATTCCAAAATTGTCAAATTTGGAGGTGAACATAAAGCACCAGACTCAATTTTTCTAATTTCGCTGTGAGTTATTCGAAGCTCAGTCACATTGTAAAGCTGTGAGAAAGAATGGGAAAAAACCGTTCCAGAAATATCCACGATTTCAAGCTGGTGGTACGACTGGTTGAGCTGAAGTGGGGGACTTTTTTGAAGCATTGGTACCAAAAGTTTTGGTACTTCTGGCTCCCACAAAGTTCGACTTTCACCAGAGGTGATGACAAGAATCATAAAAATAAACTTCATCTGAAATTCAAATTTTTAGTTCGAATTAATTACATTATGAAAAATACATCTGATTCCAGTCACAACAAATACAAAACTAATTTGGATTTATTTATCAAATTGTTATCACAGGTCATGGCTTCAGTCACTGATAAAAAGACGTACTATATCAAAACAAATCTTAAAAATGTTTGAAGCTATTCTGTTAGATATACAGGTTGGTTCAGAAGTCTGGAAACGATTTTATTCTAGCGAAACTATAAATTTTTTCGGCAAATAAATTTATAGGTGTGCAATGGCTATAAAAATGCTATTAAAAAAGAATTTGAATATTAATTAATTGTCTATACTTACGAGATAAACATAGTAACAATTTTTTTAATGCAAACCTACCACAATTTTTTGTTTGAATTGTTGCTGTGCAAACTTTTTTTTGTAAACCTCACACATTGTTGTTAAAAAAATGTTTGATTTTTTTGAGTAAACTACCAGTTTTTTTAGAAATAAAATAATAAATGTTTAAAAGTTGTAAAGGAGTGATGCTAAAATATTTTTTATTTTAATTTATTCTTTAAACTTTTGAGATTTTATACTAATAATTTTTTTCTTAAATAAAAACGGTATTTTATTTATTGTTTTACAAAGATATGTTTATGCATTTTATAAAGGTACAAAAATATTTATCGAAATTGTTACAATTTGTGTTAAAAAATTATAAACTTTATCTGTTGTCAAAACCTTCTTCCACCGGCCAAGGGGTGGTACGTTAAGTTTTAGTTGTATTTATTTATTTTTTCTTATTACCAGAAAGATAAAGATGTGTTCTATTTAAAACTGTACACAAAAATGTCAGTTGTCTTTTAAAAAAATGCAAAATTTCGCCAGAACTTAAAAACGAATGACGTCATAAATGTCACTATAATGTCAAAATATAGCATTTAAAAAAATTAAATGGACTTGTTAAAGAATTTTTTTGAAAAGACTGCAGAACTCTTCTAGTCCCACTAAAAATTTTGGGCGCCCTCCCTAAAAATTGTTTCTAGCTATGGGCCTGTATAGGGTGAATTTAAAGTATAGAACCACGCGGTTTTTTTTAATGATTTGCCGCCAGAAAATAATCATTAATATAAATTAAAGAACATAAAAAAGGTGATCTGATTTTAAGAACAAAATTTTATTTTGCTTTTGAGTTATACGATTTTTGTTTGTCAAAATTGCAATTTATGAATGTTTTTTTTTAATTAATTATAAAGTAGATAGTTGTAATACTTAGATCATAACCTTCATAAAAAATTGTTTTATATTGGGTTTTATATTTTTTTTTTGTAGAATTCAAAATCAAGAGAAAATTTCGAAAAATTTTATTCATTATTAAACATCACATTTTTATGATTTATAAAAATAAATAGTTTATATAAAAAACGTTTGGTTCCATATTATTCACCTGGTGTGGGGTACCTCAATAAAATTCTCTAGGTTCATTTCAGTTTTTTATTAAATTCTTACTTATTCAAAATAATACAATAAGTACCAATTTTATAGCTTCAGTCGTCGAAATGTTTGCAGTCGTCGTAAGATCCAGGATCCAGAGTATATTGCACATGTATAGGATGATCCAGCTTAGCTTCCAATTTATTTTTAAATTCCAGCTTCTTCCTACAGGACCCCATATTCTGTTCAATAAAAATCTTCTGCAATTTAGGCATAAACCTTGCCACCTTTGTGGCATCGAAATAATCGATTCTATTGGCCGCAAGACTCAACTCCTTCAACTGATTCAACCCTTCAAACTCATTCCAAGTAATATCCGTGATCCTATTGGCCACCAAAAGCAAAAGTTCCAAAACAGGAGTGTGTTGAAAGAGATTCCTTGGTAAATAAGTCAGCCCCCGATTATGAGTGATTTCAAGTCGCCTCAAATTATTCAACCCTACAAAAACATTCGGATCGATTTGTTGAATCCGACAATTATCCAAAATCAACACTTGCAACCACCTCAAATTGGTGAACCATCTTTTGGTCAAATGATCGATGTTTTGGTTCCTCAAAACCAACTCTTTGAGGCTGTGTAAATTATGAAAGGTGTCTTCACTAAGTCGTGGTCTGTAAATATCGTTGAAAATCACTGTGAGTGATTCCAGATTGTTGCCACAGTTGGCAAAAGTGCTCTTTTTGATAACAGGGGGATTTTGGTTGATGCTAAAATCCAGCTCAAGAACTCTGAGAGTGGGAGGAGTGCACAATGAGCCTGCTTCGATCCCTTTAAGGTTGCTTTGGAAGATCCGGATTTCGTCAACGTTGCGAAGTTGAGTGAAAGTGTCGACAAAGAGGATACCAACCATCGCTCGTAGTTGCACTTTCGTGTAGTTGGCTGGTAAAAGGAGAGGTCGACCTTTAACGGGGGTGAAGTTGGAGACTTCGGGAAGAGCGGGATCCCAAGGGGAACGGAAAGCTTCGATTTGGATTAGAAAGCATATCAGAAGTATTGAAATAAGTTGTTTCATCTGAAATTTTGAGTATAGGGTGAGAGTGAGTAGAGGAGGTACTTACGGTAGCCGAAACGAAAAATACTGCTCATTTTTCGGAAGACAATGTATTTATACTTACTTGGTAATTATAAGATCGGAATGGTTTACACTTAATCAATAAAACAATACATTCATTAATTTTTGTAAATAATTTTCAAGTTTTAACAATTGATTTGTCATGCTTAAGGTGTCAGTAAAAATGCAATAATATTTTTATAGTCGAAGATGTTCATGTCTAATTAAAATTCAGCACGATTCAATTTTTATGACATTTTAATAAAATTATGAAGGACACAATGACACAAAATTTAATTTTTCATTTCCTTTAAAAGACAAGTAGAGATGATTTATTGTTTGTATCTTTTATTTTTATTTTAAATGCATTTCCGTTGATAAGAGCAATTTTTTTCTTATCTACCAATGGTTTACGTTCAATAAAACATTTAAATGTCACGTAGGTAGGTTAATATTTAATCGTGTGACAAGTAAGTATTTTCTTGGAGCAATAAACGTGCAACGGTGAGAAATGAAAACTTTGTTTTTTCTTTGTGTTAGTGTAATTTTTGCTCAAATAAGTGATATTTTTTCAATTCACAAGAGAGTTTGTGCAAAATTATCTTCTTTAGACGCAGTATGCGTAGAAACTGTACTTTTGATTTTTGTGTTTTATTTTTTTATTAATTTAATTTACTTTTAAAAAATTGCATAAAATAATAAAAACTTATAAAATGAGAATAAAGTACAGTTTATTAATACATTAATTGAACATGATAATAGAAAAAATTACACACTTGTAGCTACTATTATCCAGGCTGTTTCGGCTAAACCCCACATTAGAAGTATTGGGAGTTCTAACAATGATATTTATCTAAAATTTTGTTTACAGCTATAATCGCTTAGGTTCTGCTCAATAAAAATATTATCAAGCTGGCAGCACTTCTAGTTACACTGGAAATAGGTATCAACTACGTTATTTAAAAAAGGTATAGAGTTACGATTTTTGGAGAGGAAGATGCAAATTCAAAAAAAATCAAAAATGTCTAAACTTTTCAAAAAATGTTAAATTTAGGTAGAAGGAAGTCTTATAAAAACTCTCTCAAAATAACATGAGTGATCCAAAAACGCAATAAAAATATAACATTTTTTTAAATTATTTTGAAATCATATTTGGGCATATGAAAAAAGTTCTTTTTTCGTGTATTTAAAATTTAAAAAATAATTAACAAATCTCCAAAATTTAAGGCTACGTTTGGGAAACTTCAATTTCAATAAATGAATTTTTTAATTCTGCATCGATCTGTACAATGGAAGAAATTCATTACTATCTATGGAAGTAGTATTTCTCACTAAAAACAGACAGGTTTTTTTTTTATAATTGTGTTATTCTTTTTGTAAATACAAATTAAAATTATTTAATCTAAACTTGAATAACTTTGGTTGCAAAACTAAATTTTCCTCCATTTAGAAGAAAAAATTGGGGTGTTTCATTTAGAAAAATTGAGTTAAAAGTATTTGAAGTTTCCTAAAAGTAACCTTACATTTTCGCGGTTTGTTAATTATTTTTCCTATTATGAATAAACCAAAGAAAAGGTCTAACCTTTTTCTCTCGTATACCCAAATACGGTTTCAACATAATAAAAAATGGTAGAGTTATCGATTTTTGAATAGGAAGAATCAAACCCAAAAAGTTTTCAAAAAAGTCCAAACATGTCGAGAACGGTTAAACTTAGGTATAGGAAAGGCTAAGAAAAACACTCTCAAAATCACTTGAGTAATCCGAAAACGCATTAAAAAACCTAGCTTTCTATTTAAAATAACGAAGTTGATATCCACTTCCGGTGTAACAGGAAGTGCCGCCATCTTGAAAATATTTTTATTGAACAGAACCTAACCGATCATAGCTATAAACAAAATTTTAGATAAATATTATTGTTAGAACTCCCAATACTTCTAATGTCGGGATAAGCCGGAACAGCCTGTATTTACGTAAAAACTGGAAACTAAAACTGGAAAAAGTTGAAAAACACCATATTTATGTTGTAAGAGTTCAAAAATCAAAAGCCAAATAACTAAAACTTTAAGAAATTAAATTGCAAAATTAAAATTTAAGAGATCTTCGAAATCTGAAATACAGGGTGCGCCAGAACTCGCGCCCCAGAGAAAATGTCAAATGCCGGGGGCAATAGGTCACCAAAATGTGCAGCCGAAGAAATAATTTTTGCTTGCATAAGAAAGTTATTAGACTCTTAAATCCACCAATCCCAGAAGGGCACCTCAAGGTGTGATTGAAAAATTATATCTGTTGCTAGGTTACGAAAATAATACCAATTTGCCCAGAATTTAAAAAAATAGCTGGTCTACTGTAATTTTGAGTTTGACATTTATTAATTTTCGTGATGTGGGTGACATAACCTGCTAGTTTCCAGTATTTATCTCGCTGAAAGGGTTGTACACGAGTATAATGAGACAGAATCGTTAATTATTATCAAAAATTATTTTGAAACATTCTGGAAATTCCTGATAAACCGACTTCTCTCTAAAACTTCTTCACAGGTATTGTTCCTTCTCAACTTTTTCTTCAATCTGATACAGATTAACAAACCGATAAATGAATTTTATAAATTATAATTTATTGTTGTGTTCTTTCACTCACATGAGCTTACTATAACCCCTTGGCTGCTTTTTCATTAAAAAATCCAGAAGAATGTTGCGATGTTTGTATTTAGTACGAAAAATTAGCATTTTTGCTGCCGGAAAGTAAAATCCAAATGTCTTAATTCCGAGGGCATTTCAGAAACGCTTTTCGGTGAATTTGTGGGCTGGTCTTTTGAGGAATTATGTGATTTGTCAATAATATCAATTAATTTCAACATAACGTGACTCCCTTTCTAAAAAGTACATTTTTCTGTTAATTTTGTGTTAAAGTAAATAAAGAAACTTGCGTACTTCTTCATGTTTTTCTGGTCACTCTCACTTGCTTCTTTATTTCAAAAGGATACCTGTGAACAAGTTTAAGAGAGAAGTCGGTTCATCAGGAATTTCCAGAATGTTTCAAAATAATTTTTGATAATTGTTGATAACGATTAACGATTCTGTCTCATTATATTCGTGTACAACCCTTTCAGCGAGAAAAATACTGGAAACTAGCAGGTTATGTCACCCACATCACGAACATTAATAAATGTCAAGCTCAAAATTACAGTAGATCAGTTATTTTTAAAATTCTGGGCAAATTGGTATTATTTTCGTAACCTATCAACGGATATAATTTTCCAATCAAATCTTGAGGTGCCCTTCTGGGATTGGTGGATTTAAGAGGCTAATAACTTTCTTATGCAAGCAAAAATTACTTCTTCGGCTGCACTTTTTGGCGACCCATTGCCGCCGGCATTTGACATTTTTCTCTGGGGCGCGAGTTCTAGCGCACCCTGTATAAAACTTTGGGTAGCAAATATACAGACATAAGTCAATATAATATGTGGGTTTAAAATCTGCATTAAAAATTACAATTACGATAATAATTTAATGTCTTGGTTATGGCGCTAATAAAATGTTACGAGACATTTCATATTAAAATTAAAAACGCAATAAAGTCTCGTTTAAGAGAAAAACAAATAGAATGAGATAGATATTGGCACTCAAAACAAACAGAGTTCTATTAAAAGTCCTAAATTTATTTTATTGGAAACATCAAGTTTTCTTTTTGTTTTCAAAACCAGTCAAAATTTAAATAATGCCCATATTTCCATTCTATACGCTCTCTCCTCTCCAACCTCTCCCATTTCATCGAAACATATAAACAAAGCGTATTTCAATCCCTTAACTCGTTAAACCGATTTAGTTGGAAGCTTTCGTTGTATATCGCGAACGCCAGACTATTAAGCTCGAAGTGAACCAAGCCCCAGGTTCTTGTAATGTTTAAAGCTAGCAATCACCCAAAGTCATAAACTGGGCTTTCGCTTCAACTGATGACCTGGCTTGTTGCAAAAATGCTTTCGCCTCTTTTTCGCCATTATTGATTCGATACAAGGAATATGTGCTTCGAGGATGTTTATTCAGAGTCGATCAGTCTGCAGTCACATCCTTGTTTGATCGGATAGAAATGCGTCGGAAGTTATATCGTTAGTGGGAGCTTTCCAAGTTGTTTTATCAGATGACAAAAGTTGGATAGAAGCACAATAACGAGCTTGGCAGCGGGCAATCATTAATGAACAACTTTTGTCAATTTTTAATCTATTTAATGATGCGTTTCTTGTTTAATTTTTATGGCAATTTATCGTGATTGCCAAACCCATATACCAATTTACGTGACACTCTGATTAATCAGTTGTTTCACGATACACACTTTTTTTCCATCTATTTGATTTCTGCAAATTCTCTTCAAACTCAATTTTCTAAATAGAAAATATGTTTGATTAAAACCAATAAAATTTGATATTTTTAGAACCAGACGATAAATTCACAAATCTCAAATAAGAATCAATAATTGAGAAAGGGTCCGGTATTAAATTTCTCTGTATGCAATGAATAATTCTACGGAAATAAGGATATGCCCCTTTTGAGATTTATCTCTTTATGTTTATGTCGTTGTTGATAAAATTTCAATTCAAATTATTTTCATAAAACTAAAGACATAAA